TCTGGCTCTACAAGGACTTCTCCATCCTCTATATGGTCAAGTAAGGCGTGTGTTGCTAGTTGAATGTGCGTGTGTGTGTGTGTGTGTGTGTGTGTGTGTGTGTGTGTGTGTGTGTGTGTGTGTGTGTGAGTGAGTGTGAGTGTGTTTATAAGTTTATGTGGGGGAGGGGGGTTATAAGTCATGTTTGTGTGTGAGTGTGTGTGTGTGTGTGTGTGTGTGTGTGTGTGTGTGTGTGTGTGTGTGTGTGTGTGTGTGTGTGTGTGTGTGTGTGTGTATGTGTACGTGTGTGCGTGGCTCTAAAAGAATTCCATCTTTTCTGTGTAGCGGTATCTTTTTAGCCGTTGATTTATAACTCTACGGGCTTACTCGCCATATTCCACTATCATTTTTCCGTACCGTTTTATTTTATAACATTTATGATTCACATGTTGCTGTATTTTATATAAAGTGTAGTGGAATCAGATCATTTAATTAAATTTAAATATATAATCGCTAAATATGTGAAATTCGGTAAATATAAGATTTCAAAAAGAAAATTCTGTTATCAGTATTATTATTATCAATATTATTATTATTATTATTATTATTATTATTATTATTATCATTACTATTATTATTATCATTATTACCATTATCATTATTATCATCACCATTATCATTGTTATTATTATCATTATCATTTTTATCATTATTATTATCATTGTCTTTATAATCATTAACATTATCATTATTATCATCATTATCTTTTATCATTTCGATCATGATTATTATGAGAGAGAGAGAGAGAGAGAGAGAGAGAGAGAGAAATATATATATATATATATATATATATATATATATATATATATATATATATATATATATATATATATATATATATATATAAAACATGAAGAATGTTCATCGAGAGGACAGGCAAGAATTTTTTTATAATTATCAACGTTTCTTTTTCCCCCTCTCCTTCGTTTTTTATTCCTTTACCTTCTTTTTTTGTCTTATTCATTGTCGCTTCGTCTCATTCGTCTTCTTCTTGTCCTTTATTTTTCTTCTCCTCTCTTCTCTTCCTTTTCCTGTTCATTATTCTACTTTTCCCTATCCCCCTTTTTCTTTTCTTTTGTCGCCTTCCATCTCATCATTCCTCTCGCCTGCTTTTTACTCATTCTTTCACTATTATTGCTGTTCCTTCTTTCCTTCCTCTTCCTCCTCGTCTTTATCAGGATTTCTTTCTCCTCCTAGCTTTATTTTAGTTTCTCCTCCTCCCTTTAGTCTAGTTTCTCCTTCTTCCCTTATTCCTTCTCTTTCCCTTAACCCCCCTCCCCCCCCAATCATCCTTCCTTAAGTCTTCTCCCCCAACGTTCTTCTACACCCCCCATCCCCCCCCTTCTCCCCAACTTCGCCCGCAAGCTTCTACCCCCACCCCCCCTCACACACTCCCCCCCTCACCTTTACCCCTACTTATACCACACTCCCCCCCCCCATCTCCCTTTTCCTCATCTTCGTCTCTACACCCCCCCATACCCACACTCTTCCACTCCCTACCCCTACCTCCCCCCACACTCCCCCCCCTTCCTCCCCTAACCCCCCCCCCCACCTCTCTTTGTAGTCCCGCCGGAGCATCAGCGGAAGAACACTTGTGGATCTCTCTCCTTATCAGACTCCCCTCTTCTCCCCTCTTCTCCCCTCTTTTCCCCTCTCCTCTCTACGGCCCATCACTCTCTTCCAATTTTTTTCCTCTCTCCTTCCCTCTCCTTACCCTCTCCTTCTCTCTACGGCCTCTCACCCTATCTTTTATTTTGCTCTTTTCTCCCCTCTCCTTCTCCTCTCTACTGCCTATCGCCCTCTTTCTCATTCTTACTAATTTGTCCTCTCTTCTTCTCTCTCCTTACCCTCTCCTTCTGTCTACGGCCTATCACCCTCTTTTTCATTTTTCCTCTCCTCTCCACTCTTTTCTTTATCTCTCCCCTCACTCTTTCTCCTATCTATTACACCCTTCCTAATTATTCTCCTCTGTTCCCCATTCTTTATTTTCTCTTCCATTCCCCTCTCTTTCTCCTTTTATTGGCCTGTCACCCTCTCCCTTTTCTTTCTTCCCTTTTGCCCTTTTTCTTTTCTTTCTCACCCCCCCCCCTTTTTTTCCCTTTTCTCCTCTTTCCCTCTCCACTCTCCTCTGCTCCCTTTCTTCTTCTCCTTTCTTTGGTATATCATCCTCTTTCTCATTCCTTTTCCTTTTTATCTCTCTCTCTCCCCTTTCTGTCTCCGTTCTTCAGCCTATTACTTTCTTTCCCCCTTTCTTTGTTCCCTTTTTCCTTTCTTCTCCTCCCCTCTCTTTTTCCTTTCTTCGGCCTATCACCCATTCTCTATTTTTCCCTTTCGTCTCCTTTTCATTTTCTTCCCCCTCTTTCTCCTTTCTTTGCCCTATCCTCTTTTTATTTTCCCCCTCTTTTCCCCTTTCTTTTTTTCTCCCTAATCCTCTCTCTTTCCCCTTCTTTTGCTTTATTACTCTCTTTCTATTCTTTGGTCCCTTCACCCCTTTTTCTTTATTTTCTTTCTTTCTCTCTTCATTCCTTTCTTCAGATTATTTACTCTCTTTTTGCTCTTCTAATATTTCCTCTCTTTGCCCTTTCCCTCATTTCTCTTTTCTCTCTTTGCTCTTTCTCTTTCTCTGTCTTTTATTCTCGTCTCTCCTTCCCATCCACCTTTCTTCTTCTTATCTTTTTAATCATTCATATCTTTCCCCTTATTATTTTTCTCTCTCTTTTCTCTTTCCGTAGGGAGAAAGGAGAATGGGAGGTTAAGAGAATAGGAGAGAAAGAGAGAAAGAAGAAGGAGGGAGAAAGGATACGAGGAGAAGATAATGGAGGAGAGAATTAAGAAGGAGAGAAGAGGAGGAGGGAGAAAGGAGAAGGAGATAGAAAGTAGAAAGTAATGGGGGATGATAAGAATATGGAAGAGAGGGAAAGAGGGGAAGCAGGAGAATAAAGGAGAGAGAGAAAGAGCAGAATAAGAGAGAAGTGTCGGAAGACGAATATAGGAGAGAGGGAGAGAGGAAAAGAGGGAGAAGAAAGGAGAGAGACAGAGGAGAAGGAAGAAAGGATAAAAAGAAGAATAAGGGAGAGACAGAGAGAGGGAGAGGGTGGGAGAAGAAGGAGAAGAAAAGAAAGATGGAGAGAGAAAAAGGCGGATAACCCTTCCCAGAGAGGGTGGGAGAAGAAGGAGAGGAAGAGAAAGAGGGAGAGAGAAAAAGGCGGATAACCCTTCCCACAGGACAAGTTCCCTTAGGCGAAAGGACTCTTGTCTCGAGGAACTTCCAGTGAAGGAGATCCTCTTAAAAGTTCTCTGTCTTTCTCCCTCTCTTTCTCACCCTCTCGTTCTTATCCTCTTTCTCTCCCTCTTTCTCTCCTTCGTTCCCTCCATGGTATCCATTTATCTGTTTATCTATTTACCTCTCCACCCCACCCTAACCCCCCATCTCTCTCTATCTGTGTCTCTCTCTTAGTCTACCTTTCTTCCTCCCTTCCTCCCTCCCTCCCTCCCTCCCTCCCTGCCTTGCCTCCCTCCCTCCCTTCCTTCCCTCCCTGCCTTCCCTCCCTCCCTGCCTTCCCTCCCTCCCTTCCCTTCCTCCCTCCCTCCCTCCCTCCCTTCCCTCCCTCCCTCCCTTCCTTACCTCCTTCTCATCTCTCACTCCCTCCCTTCCCTCCCTCCCTCCCTTCCTTACCTCCTTCCCTCCCTCCCTCTCTCCCTTCCCTCCCTCCCTCCCTCCCTCCCTTCCCTCCCTCCCTCCCTTCCTTACCTCCTTCTCATCTCTCGCTCTCTCCAAACCACAAACTTTGAATAAAACTGAACGTCATAATTAAGAGCAATGTGAACAGTTATTTTCCTTTATTTTCCGTTAACGTTTTCAGAATTTCTCGAGAAAAAGAAAAGCAGAAGGAGTGTCGAGAACTTCCCTCTTTTGATCTTTCCTTCGAGGAGTCCGGAGAAACTCTTGTTCAGATCCTTTTACCGCCATTTTTTTTTTTTTTTTTTTTTTTTTTTTTTTTTTTTTTCCCGCCGTAATAATTTTCCCGGTTTATTTTTCACCGAGTGGAGACGTGCTTAAAGTTTTTTTTTTTTCTTTTTAAGGGGACAGCACTTACTTTGTCATTCTCTCTTTTTTTTCTTTACTTTTCTTTTTTTGGTTCATTCTGTAAGATTGTTATCTTCTAATCATATATGTGTTTATTTATTCATTTATTTATTTATTTATCTATCTATTTAATATAATTTATTTATTCATTGTATTCATTTCATTTATTTATTTATTTATTATATTCATTTTATTTATTTATTTATTATATTCATTTTATTTATTTATTTATTATATTCATTTTATTTATTTATTTATTATATTCATTTTATTTATTTATTTATTTATTTATTTATTATATTCATTATATTTATTTCTTTATTTATTATATTCATTTTATTTATTTATTTATTTATTATATTCATTTCATTTATTTATTTATTTATTATATTCATTTTATATCTTTCCTATATATACATATTTTTAAATACATCTTTTACATCATGTACTTAATATACATCCTCTTTAATTTATACCATGCAAATCTATGCCACGCAAATAAGCCTTTAATACAAACACCCATTTGTCGAATTGGCATCGTAGTAACGTGTGGAACTGCGCCAACATAAACACAGGCAATAAATATAGTCTAGCTGTTCAGTCTTATATTAGCCTATTGCGTGTGTGTGTCTGCTTGCGTTACGTATGTGCGCCTGGATGGGAACGTTTGTAAGCTCCACACTCCCGGCTAATCCAATACATTGTGTGTGTGGCAGAGAGAGAGAGGAGGGGGAGGAGCGAGAAAGAGAGAGGGGGGGGGAGGGAATGAGGAAGGGAGGAATAAAGAGAGAGAGAGATACAGATAGAGACAGACAGACAGAAGGACAGAGATAGAGAATGAGAATGAGAAAGAGAGAAGAGACAGAGAAAGAGA